ATTTTTTACAGGCTTGTTTTTAAAGTCTAAGACCGCTGTATCTTCACTACAGAGGAAAAACAAGCAAGATTAAACACCTGTATCAGAAAATACAATGTACATGTATGTACAGACAAACGATTTGGGAGTAACCGTTAATTCTACCTGGTAATAAGCTCCCCGCTGTCGGCCATGTCATCGTTTATCTTCTTCCCGAAAAGAAGTTTCTTTATTTCTTTTTCAATTTCTGCACATCGCTGTAGATTCTTTTAAGGAAAGAGAAAATAATTCACTTGATTATTATAAACTAATGACTTCATTTAATTATGTGGTCTATTATTTAACATTACTATTTTTTATCATTAATACATGTAAGATTCTCTCAATTGGACGGATAATTGAATGTCATGTCCTTCGGTTAATAAAACATTCTATAATACTTTCACAAAATCCTAAATATCTACGGGAAAAAAAGACTTTAAACTAGAATATTACTTTGTATCCCTGGTATCAAACGTTTTAAATATCAGTCAAATTCCTTCTTGATTCGTATTGTAATACCTTAATTTTCCTCTCTTCTTCCTTGACTCCATCAAACGAGGCGTAATCAGATTTAGGGATCTCTAATTTCTCCGTCTGAAATTTCAAAATTAAACAAATGTTTTTATAACATATACTGTAGGCAGTCCAACAAATTGTAGATTTTTTTTAAATATTAAAATATTTTAGATAGATGTACATGTCTTTGATTTTTCAGTAAAATATTAAACGAGTCAACCATCTCTAAATCGTCACACAGTTAACTAATTTGATATCTCTAAGATGTAAATCCCTTCTTTTAAAATAGTATAAAATTGTAATAATATTTTTTAAAAGGGGTAGGGGCTACTAGCACCCCCCCCCCTCAACAAATGGTGCATTATGTTATTATACTTTCAAAATTGTCATTACCACCACATGCACATTACCGCGTCAAATTAGGATACAAGACCATACCATTTATATGTGCACACATTGTATGTATAAGTTATCAAGACAAGGCATCTTCTGTAAGACATGCAGCACCTAATGCATGTACGTGTATTTTTGAAAGTCTTATTTGTACGAAATTTAATTGTAACCATCAATGATTAAACTTGCATTGCTATTTGTAACAAGTACAACGTTCAAATGTACTTCGACAACAGGTTGAACGAATTATTTTCAATAGGACTCGATTCATGTTCTGTGGCATGCACATTTAATAACTCGTAGATAGGTTTGTTTTTGCAGTTTAATGCGTTGTAATGGACAGTATTCTTATTGGTAAAATGTAGCGGTAATGCACACCTGAAATCGAGGCGAAAAGTAGCGGTAATGAATTGTCCATAATTTCTTGCAATGTATAGCTGTAATGTATTCCTTTCAAAATTAAAACTGGAACAATAAGAAATTAACAAAAGCAAAAATTTTCAGTTTCAAAATAATAATTTAAAAATACTAACCCAATCTGTTACAGGCGTGTTTCCTAAGTCTAAGACCTGTGTTTCTTCTCTACAAAGAGAAAGCAAGGATTAGACTAAATACCTTTATCATAAAATTTGGACCAAAAGGAAACAATCTGGCGTACATTGTAATTTTAATTCTACCTGACTACAAAGTCTCCATTGTTCTTTATGTCATTTTTGTTCATCTTCCCAGACATTAATTTCTTTAATTCTCTTTCAATGTCAGCACATCGCCTTTGATCCTTTTCAAAGTAAATAACATTTTTTCAAAATTAAAAACCTCATTTTCCAACATGTATGTTATACTTAATTATTCTTTTTCTTAATCTGAAGTTGTATGAATTGGATGAATAATTAATCATTTTGATAAAAATACCCTTCGGAATATAAAAGTTTAACAAAACATCCGCAATATATCAAACATCTAATTACTAAACAAAAAAATAATACTAGAATTATTCTACGAATCAAACTTTTTAAGTCTCAATTTTAGTATCCGATTACCTCTATTTGTTTTTCGTGCTCTTCTACTGCATCGCACCAATTATAGTTAAATTTTAAAATGTTGAGTTTTGTCTCCTGAAAATAAAATACATATGTTTTAACATTTGATATGTCTTCTCGAATAATGTATAAGTGCATATCAGGCTCATGGCCTGACGTTTCGTAGGACAATAAAGTGGGGGGGGGAGGGGGGACCAGTGATAAAACATTTTGTTTGTTAAATCTCACAGTTATTTAGCTTGAATGTTTCCTAGATAAACTCGAATAATTCAAACCACGAGTTTTTAGGCGTAAATCATATTTGTCTATGATTGTCACCCTTATAAATGTACGCAATGTATTTGATGCTTGGCTTTAAAACACCACAATATTTTAAATGGACAAAAATTTAGTACGTACGTATACATAAGAAATACAGATTTAACAGTTATTATGTTTATGAACAGAACTTACCACATCAGTAACGGCACTCTCTCCAAAATCTAAGATTTCGTTCATATCCATTTTTTGTTTTCTGAAATGCTAGTAAAAATAAGTAAATAAATACATAAGGTTACTCTAAACAGATAGACGATACACAGATTATTGAATTATTCTAATATAGAATCGCTTTTCACATGCCTTTTACCTTCGAGTTTTGTTGTAGTAACAATTATGACGTCAGATCATTATTACGTTTGTTCACGTGACATAGTTATTATGACGTCCTTATAGCAATATGTACTGTCGTTTGATGTTTTTTGTTCATTAAATTCAAAGGGGTGTAGTTTTTATCGCTACATCATTTAGACGTATATTGATAAACGCCTTGCAGCGCTGCTAACTTTCCTGTCATTCACATTCTTTAATGATGATTTATCATTTATTCAATTTTGAAATAAATTATGTTTTTTTAAGTGATGCTATTGCGTATTTGTATCACAAGACACCCAGAGTAACGCATTTAGTTTCTTGAAATCATAAAATTTTATATTCCAATTACAAGTAATACAATATATACATGTATGTAAATCTATATTGTGTATATATCGATCTTTTACATTTTTTTAAAATGTCAAATTGCAAGTGTGGGAGAAAAACACTTAATATGTGGCTCTTAGTTTCACACCACCCTAATGAAATCCACCCGACTAAAACAATGAACAAAATTATCTCAGTAGCTTAGTTTTTAGCGATTCACAGTTCTTCAGAGTAAGAAGTCCAATAATAAAATTGTTCTTTGTGGACCATTTTCTTAACCAAAGTTTGCTGAACCTTTCCATTTGAATTTTCAAAGTAAACGAATTTTAAAAAAAGACACCCCCCCCCCCTCCCAATTTTTGACATTGATTATGAATAGTTGTTCAAACAGACTGGTTGGTTATAACTTGTCGCTTGGTGGTGAATGTAAATAGAAAATATCAAAAAATTATCAAGAACAAGTTAATTATTCTAATAAGCACTGAATATAGATTTAGGTTGGAAAAACTTTATACTTACGTTTCACTTCTCTGTCTTTCTTTGGTAGTAAAAGAAAATTTATTGTTACGTCATAGCTATAGATCTCGTCAAACATTCTGTGACGTATTATGTTCTATCCTTGAAATTTTCACTCATCTTTCTCTTACCCTGCATAATAATATTTATTTTTTCCTTCAGTTTTGTCCTAAGCTATACTATTTGAGTTTTGTATAATATCAACGATGTCTTTATGTAATGTTTCAAATCAAAATTCAGTATAAGATGTAATATGTATAGGCACAAATGTACTTTAAAAAAAAGAAAGAAAAAGGTTGTTTTTAATTGTAACGATTGATTATCTTCATGTACGTCTAAGCTTATAAATCTTCTCAGAAAAGAGGGAAAATGTGTTCTTTAAGAAGGGAGTGTTAATGGGACACTCCACCACCGATCCACCTTTTTAGAAATAACGTGTAATGCTAAATTGAAAATATAATCAAAACATTTAGTAGGATGAAAAATGAGTAGCATTGTTCGGATCGAGGTTTTTTTCGGAAAGGGGGGGGGGGGTAATTCCACATGCACTCCAAAAAAAATCTGACAAGGAAAACACGTAAGAAAAGAACTCGAAAAACGAATAGTGAATTGAAATATAATCTCCATTAAGCTTTAAATTGAAAGTAAATTTATCATGCAGAGACTACATGTCCTTTGGGGGGGGGGGGGGGGTCAACTTGCACGTCTTGAGTACTATATCTGGTCATTTTATATTTCTATAAAATATTTAAAAAATAAAGATGATTTTTATGATACACACAGCTTTCTTGGGACAGAATATTTTACAAATGTTACTCATCATGCCTTAGTTTTTAAAAGATATTTAAAAGTGAAAATGGAAATGCATTATATCAATTTAGTTATTGATAATGTTAAGTTGTCTACCCACTGTAGTGAATTTCCAAACTATTGTTGAAACTCATCGTTAACTGCTTTAACCCCCCCCCCCCTCCCCTCAACACGCACACATCTGCATTAAATTAATTCAGATCCTGATTCTTTAATCTATAACTGTATTTCTGTCCTTTTTTTTTTTTTACAGATATGAGGATAACCGACTTTAACGTATTCGGGTGATGAAAACCTTTATGCCTTTGCTGTATATGAATAATAAAACCAGAAATGGTATTGTTACTAGTAATGTAAATGTATTGTAGCATGTAAATTGATTTTTCAGCTAGTTAGCGTAGGTTGATTTAGCGCTTTTCAGAATATGACATTTAGCAATCTACATAATAATTTTTATACATCAAAAATGACATTTAGCGATGCATATGATGTACTTGGTCTAGCAGAAGCTGTTTCCCACCGAATGTCGCTAAATAGAATACACAGTCAAATGTTATGTTTTCGGTATTTCTCAAATTATATATTTTATGATAAAACCAAGGCTTATTTGTATTTTTAATGACTATTCAACCGTCGATTCTTTTACACAGTTTCTGAAAGTAAAGAGTTTGAATACGCCACTAATCATTATATTTCGTCATACAACCTTGTATAAACTTGGAAAGAAAGAGAATGTACTAAAGGTACATGTACAATATAATCTTTATTTTATGAATAAATTAAGATAAAAATATGTCCAGATATTTTGCAAATCCTATGATATACAAAGTAAAAAATCATCACACTCTAATAACGATACATAGGCACATCACTCGTGAAATGAAGAAGAAAATGGTTATTTTAAAATGTCAAAGTGGATAACAAAATCTGAATCCTTTATTCTTTAGAACAGAATTATGCAAATTTAATTTCATTGATCTGAACCGAACCATCCACGTGTAACTCGTCGTACTTTTCAATTGGGTACAGTCTTGCAGCGAAGGTAATGTTAGGGTTAGGTTGCTGGTTGATAAATATCTGAAAGAAAAAAAAAAGGCATATATCACAATTAGTAGGATTAATCATCATGTTCGTTAACTGCCAGTAGTAGCCCAAGAAAGTACAGCTTTCACTATTTTGATGCCAAATGTGTATCTTACCCTAGTAGAATTATTAGAATTTCTGATTCAGATAAATCATAAAGTTTAAATTCTTAATAATTTTGTTTTTCTGGTATTGATGCCTCCATTTATTGCACTAGTACTTCCCATGATAGTTCATGTGAACAGATGCGAACATAAATATTATGTAGTGTGATTGCAATTAAAATTGTGTATGGTCAAGAATCTTCAACATTTTTTTCCGGAACACAGTTATAAATACATAAGCTACATGTACATGCATATGAATATCGTTTTGTAACATAAAGCATGCGTTAGAAAATGTGAGGTTATATCGATGTATAGTGTCATTAAACGTGATGCTACACTTTTGTCACTACATTCTACATATGTACATATTTGACATTACACGTGATACTACACTCTGTGTATCGTGTCATTATATATGATATATCGATGTATCGTATCACGGAATGAATTCTTTTGCCAGCCCTATCATAAAAACTATTTCTGATTGCGTATAAAGTGTTGCTTGCTTTATCATTATATTAGATGCCATGTAACTGCGTTACCAGGTACTGGTTTGGCTCCACATGTATACAGAGTTCAAAATGTTGGCCGGGTTGAAACATGCTTCCGTTATGCCTCTCTTCTGGTCCCCATCCATGTTGGCTATGGTTCAGTACTACACATCCTTGACTCGGACGAGGATTAAAATGGAGGCCGTATTCATCCCCACATTTAAGGTTCACCGAAAACCTGCAACAATGATTTATTTCTTATTTATGTTGTGGTTTTATAATGTATAATAGTACAACTTAGATCTATTTCTTTTCTTTTCTTTTTCTTTTTTACTTTTAATATATAGATTTTACTCATAATCACACGAATTGACATCGTTTTCAGTTAATATGTTTTTGAAAATTATTAGATTTTATACAATCATTCAACAAAGATACAATGGATAAACATGTAAGTTCTTTAAAATTTGCTTACCTTGGGTAAATTATATATATATATATATATATAGAGAGAGAGAGAGAGAGAGAGAGAGAGAGATATCTATTATCTATCACCAGGGTTTCCATATCTATTACTAGGGTCTGTATTATCTATCACCAGGGTTTCCATATCTATCACTAGATAAATAGAGAGAAGCTAGGAGAGAGAGAGAGAGAGGAGTTAAAAGTTATAAAATTTGAATGATATGAATTACATATACCTGTCATCTGCGGTCACCATGCCTTTGATGATAATTGATCTCCCTGGAACAACCCCGCCAGGAACACGACCCACGAATGGCATTGGCTGCAATGAACATCACACAAATTTTATTTGAAGTATTAAGTGTGTCCTTTCCAGAAAATAGACGAAAATAACGAGTTTTATGTCTTAGTGTTAAGTTACCTTTTTTACATTACATTTATAAGCAAAGATTAAAATGATACTAACCATGATTTTTTTTTTAAATAGACATTGACAATTGTAAGTCATATTTAAAGTAAGAACCCCCCAAGTTGTTAGAACTTGTGTTCGAACTTTTGTATGATATTTATACAATAAATATGTTCAAATCAGACCATGATTAAGATCTTGAGGAGAGATGAGCTACATTTATGCCATGTTGGTGAATTTGGGTCTCTTTTTCTCGAACATATTTCTGTCATTTGTTGTTGCTGACTTTTATTTCCGAACTTCTTCATTAAATTTCAAAATCAAACTTCATTCATAAACATGATGTATGTGTTTTCAAATAAAGAGTTTGATTCATTCCTCAAGTTATACATTGACTTGACATGAAGAATTTGTAAAAGAAAGGCTGTTCAGATACTCAGACCATTTAATTCCCCTGCAAAATCACTATAAAAAAAATATGACAATAGAATAGGTTCAGTCATACGTTTGGACTTTGGACAACAAAGAAAGAGTAAAACGAAAGTAAACGTCCAGATTTATAATTTTGTATGAATGATAATTTGATTGAATTATGTTTTCATAACGCCTACTTGTGATGAACCAGAATAAAACTTTACTTTATACATGTATATCATGTCCAATTACCGGGTTATATATGGGTCCCATGTGTCCCATGTTCCCCATCGGAGGGGGAGCGTAGCCGCCTGGGGGAGGACCAACTGGTCCCGTTCCTGGTGGAGGCCCATATCCACCTGGATGACCTCCATAACCGCCTGGAGGGGGACCACCATATCCACCAGAAGGAGGGCCTCCATATCCACCGGGAGGGGGACCATATCCACCTGGAGGGGGGCCATATCCACCGGGATAACCAGGAGCGCCGCCAGCTGGTGGGGGATAAGCGCCGCCAGAGGGAGGTGGATATCCTCCGTATCCACCCTGAGGCGGAGGGTAATGACCCCCTTTCTCCGGGGGTGCGTGGCTTCCGGTTGGCTGAAAAATATATTCAAATTAAAAAAAGCACTCAAAAGCGTTTTGGTATTTTAAATGAAAACTGTAATGTACAATATGCGGAGAGAATTTATAACTTTTGTAAAGTTTATAACTATAAGTACTCAAGTTTATCATTCACATTTTCTAAGGGGAGCATGCACATGCAGTTTTCAAATGATCACATTGTTTATGCATATCGAATTTTAATCTTGAATCTTCACTGCATTAGGAAAATCATATTTAGAAATTTGTCCATCAGTAATAGCTGAGGATACAAGAGCAAATATAAACCCACTGCAGAACTGATTAAACTGGTACGAAACTTACAAGTACTTACATACATTGGAGTGTGTCGGAGAAGAGGAACTGGACGACGCTTATAAACACTATGTTACGAACAACATAATCCGCACTGAAAATTCCACAACTAGTCAAGCTTGCTATTTAAATGTGTATTTCTAAATACTCATTCTATTATTGAGAAATAACCCTCTGTCTGTGACTTTAAAAATCAATATCTTCTAAGGGTAGTGTGCCCATTTCTGGTTAATTTAAGACATCTAACCTTGCTTAGGGTGATATGGTTCAGAAGAAGATACGTACTTCGTTCAGATATAATGTTTTAACATTATCTGTTCAGAGCTGCGAACCCTTACGATACATACCCGTACGGTATGAGCGTCTAAAATACGCCGTTAGACTTCCATATACTCTTCCGATTCCCGTTTTTCTCAATACAATGCTTGAAATACAGGAATTTTCATAAAATTCTATCATAAGTTTCCTATTTTGATTTTTTAAAAAAGTCATATCCCTGCAGACAGACGGACAGATGGACACCCCAATCACTATATATCCCCTGTTTTTCAAGCGGGGGGGGGGGGGTAAAAAAAACTGTTTGTAATATCATTCATTAACTTCTATAGTATGTGTATACACAGAACAGCTTGAAAAAAATGCATTGTGAGTAGATTTCTATTATCTAATGACGGTGAATTTATTTTCCAGTATATAATTTGTTTTCATAAAAGATGATTTAGTATACACAAACGTTAACATTACTGGAGAGAGAAAGAGAAATTGACAATTACATAAACATGAACACTATGACAGCATGCTATACAAGACTGTCTATTTACGAAAGAAAAACAAAAGAACAAACTTGTTAAATCTGGACAGATTTACAATGATGAACAAACTTTAAAAAAAATTATTGCGTCCACTAAAAGCTTGCATAATAATATCATTAGTGGATTTCATACCGTTTGGGGTTACATGTATTTCTAGGGAGGACAAGAACTGGTTAAAAAACTTGATTACATATACCAATATGTATTGCCATGTGATTGTCCATGACGAAACAGACAGAGCTGTACATGTACGTCCGGCCGGGCCGTTACGCTTTGGGGTACACATTTCTTATCCTCAACTCCTCCTATACCACTCAATATATTTTAATGATACTTTCACAGAATATTTGTTACATACATGTTACATACATACACTCTTATTTAACTTTTTGATCGGACACATATTTTGGGTTTCCAATAGCAAAACATAGACACTGCCATTCTTTGTATGATATTGAGGGGTACCCATCTCTTATCCGCAACTCCTCTTATAACACTTAATAAAATTTAATGATACTTTCACACGTGCTTGGGGACGGACCCCCCCCCCCCCGTGTTCCGTACCCCAAGGGTTCTTTGACCTTTTTTGAAAAAAAATATTTTTCTATGACACATTCACAAAGTATTACATCTGAAAAATCCAAAATGTAACCTAAAACTAGCCTTTTATAAAAATTCACACTCTCAGATACTAAAAGAGAATTTTTAGTATCAGAAAGTGTGAATTTTTATAAAAGGCTTGTTTTAGGTTATATTTTGGATTTTTCAGTTGTAATTGTAAATGTATCATAGAAAAATATTTTAAATATTTTATTTAAAAAAGGTCAAAGAACCCTTCGGGTACGGAACACGGGGGGGGGGGGGTTCCGTCCCGTCCCCAAGCACCTGTGTGTTCTCTTTTAGTATCAGAGGTGAGAATATTTGTAAAACGCTTGTCCCCAAGCACCTGTGGATACTTTCACAGAATCTTTGTTACATAGTGCCATTGTGCACCTCCTATTTCACTTTTTGATCGGACACATATTTCGGGTCTCCCATAGAAAAACATGGACTTCTCCATTATAAGCACATGGGAGGCGGGGGTATCATTTTGTGAGCTCAGTGGTCACAGTACCTCTGGTTAGTTTTTACATCTATTCATTTCTAAACAAGGGTGAAGAACGTCTGCGAAGAAGCTACATGTATGGTGACAATGCAACGGAGGAAGAAGTGGATACCTTATTGCCGTGATTGCAACCGCTGCATTTATTGAACAAAGAAAGCATTTTTATTGTTTAAATATACCACCTGTCGTTACCTTGACTTCTCATCTGACCTTCCCCCTTTTATGTTTGTTTGTTTTTTAATGTAGAATTTAAATAGCATACATAAGAGTCTAATATCGTCAATAAAAAAAATTACATAACATCTGATAGATTTTTTAATTTTATTTTTTATCATTGAATTGTCTTAACAAAACAATCATCAATAACAAATAAATCATAACCAAACATTGAAAAGTAAAACTAATGCGGCCTTACACAATAACAAATGCATAGTAGTAACCCAAACTGCATAAGTTTCATATAATCCATACATCCTCAATTTAAAGTATGTCTGTGTAAAAACATTGTAATTTCAATACATTGTATATATAGTTTTACAATATTTGCAAGAGTAAAATCATAAACATAATATAGAAATGATTATGTACAAATAAACTTATGTACAATTAGCCCAATATCCTTATGTACATGGGAAAATTTTTATGTACAATTTGTCACTTTTTTTTAAAGTCTAATTATTGATAACTGCAGGTACATATCTAAACATATGTACATCTTTGTCCATTCTTCCAATAGGTGTGAAGTTCCGAATTCCCAATAATTAGATTTCCGAGAGTACACGAATAAACATTATTTGGATGATGAACTACTCGCTTCTTGATCTTTGGCACATTCAATTTAGCACTGTATCTATTGAAATACTTATTCAAATGCGATGTGCCTGACTCTGGTTGCTTAACAGGTGTAGGTATGGGACTCCTAGTCAGCATGTCGGCACGTTTTTGAATTCCCTCAAGTCTTTCTTTCAAAGCTTTATCTTTTTGGCGCATCTTTTCCGTCTTACGGTTAAGCACTTCCAAACGACGTTGCCAATGCTGTACTTGGTAAGTACTATTTCTTGGAATCCATAGATGCGGGAGTGACATCACGCGATGCAAATTGTTCGAGTCAAATTCGGATTTTCCCGGAAGCTGAGGAGCAGACATGGCACGTTGTAGAACTTTTGCCGAGGCACCATTCCATAACATATCCTCATCCTCTATCCTGATGTTATCCGTTTCTTTCGGTGTACTGTGACTTATTTTTCCTTTCTCAGCAAACTTGATCCTCGGTTGAATTTCAGTTTCTTTAGGTGTGCTGTGGCAAAACTCACCTTCTTTTAGGATAGCCTGACACCTTGTCATTAGTTTATTTCCAAATTCCTTCGGAGTACTATGTAAGACTCGAGCTGTTTTCAGAACAACATGTTGATAGGGCTTTTTGATTTCCTTCGACTCTCTAAATGTTTCTACTTTTTTACTTCTTTCACTCCGAATATTCGTTAAATCGTTGTTAAATTTAGGTGTACTGTGAATGAATTCCTCACTTTTGCGTTGTATAAAATTGTGTGTGCATTTCACATTCTTCGCGCAGATATTTTCCTTTGACTTACTTTGGGTAAATAGTACATTTTGCACAATACTGCCATGTTTTCCATGGAATCGGCTTGCAGCTTCTTTCGGTGTACTATGTCGAAAATTGTTCACATCTTGAAAAACTAAACATTCTTGGCCACAAGACCTTTTAAGCATCAACTCCGCATCGCCAGATATAAAGCACTCGTTTACATTCAAATTTAAATCCATTACCACCAATATACGAGTTAAAAGTACATTAATATTCTCCAAAGTATGCGCTTGTCCACGCGCCCCCAGCACATTAAAGTGTTAAATTTATATAATTAGTTGCTGTATTTATACCATTTCACACCTTGTCAATCACTTTAACTGACAGTATTGGAACTATATATGCATTGTGACACTGAACAGTTGTTACTACACAGTGTGAACTCCTAGGCGTCAAAATCAGAGCATGTTCTTTGTATTCTAATTAAGCAATAATTAAACTTGCTTAATAATGACAATTCAATGAGGACAGAAATCAAGTAATGTCAATGCCACAGTGTCTAACAAATTAATAAATCATATTTATTTATTTATCCATCTTTAAATTTATTTCGCATAAATGAAAAATAAATTTTCTGCACAATAATTTATTAATAATTGTCTGCACATAATCCATCAATTGATATTCATCCATACAAACATGTACTACTTCCTTTGAAAGAAACGTGCATGTATCAACATATAAATTGATAGTATATTTCATTTTTTTGCATTCATTTAAGTATTCAAATGACCTAGTGATAATACTTAAAAACATGTAATAAATCTTACATAAAATACAATGTTAAATAAATTAAATCTCATTCAAAATATTTATAAATTATTGAAATTAAATACTAGTGAATTAAATTCTTATTTTAATAGAGCAATAGTTCCTGAATTATAAATCACATTAAAATCAATAACAAAAACACGATTACAATGAAACATTAAAATAAAGATTTGCTAAGCTACAGATCATAAAAAAATTGTATTATATTGTTGATAATCAATTTTTCATTCATGAATAACTAATTCCAGGAAATTTTTAGTCTTCGGTATTTTGCAAAGAAAATCAAATTTCACCCACTTTCTCATACACATATAAACATTTTTAATCTGAGTTGAGTCTGGAATTGATACGTATCATTTAATGATATCCTCTTTCACTTCATGTAGATCATCTTGGGTCACACCTTTCGCAGCCAATTCTTCTAACACACGATCCAGGAAGGTGGGGTCTGGGTATCCAAAACTGTAAAGACATTTCAAATATTTCTCAGACTTCTAGCAAAGATTTTCAACTTTATGATGTCAGGTCTTGCATGCACTTTGCAATGGGCTTGGCTTTTTATGAGGTCGTAAATTCCATGAAAAGGTTAAACTTTTTAAAATCTTTGGTCATAATTGTTGAAAATAAAATTAAATGTGTGAATATGATTATCACATTATTCAAATAATGCACACCTTTTTGCACTCCTGCAAAATTTGAAGCCCCCAGTCAGCTATAAATATAACTGTATACAAAGGTAATTCACATGACTTTAACACATGCAATTAAAACGTAATTACATGTATGGTACAGCCCTTATTCCAAAGTTACCCCATGCAGCAGTCCCGTTTTTCTGCGATTTTTTCCAGCACCCTCTCTGCTTTTCCGTGACTACTTCACACTATTTTTTAACGATTGGTTTTAACTATGTGATATGTTACTTTCTTTTTTGCTACCTCCTTTCCGCGATTTTTGAATGAACATAGGTAGAGCTTGGCATCAAACGGTTGCCGATATGTACCTGTATTTTCTCAAAAAGTTCTACTTAGGGCCATCTTTACAAAATTGTTTGGTTGCCCTCTCCCGACCGACTGACTAAAAACGGTCCCACTCAAAACTTTTTTTTAACATTCAGATAACAATTATTTTTTTATTGATCACCCACAGTGGCTCCACCCTACCCCAGGGGGTCATGATTTGGACAAAATTAGATCTACACTACCTGAGAATGCTTCCATATAAATATGACTTATCAAGACCTTGCTGTTCTTGTGAAGATGAATTTTAAAGATTTTTTTCTATGTATTTATATGTTAAACTTTGATCACCCATAGTGGCCCCGTCCTACCCATGGGGTCATGATTTGGACAAAATTGAATCTACATTACCTGAGGATGCTTCCATATAAATACATATATGACTAATCAAGACCTTGCTGTTCTTGTGAAGACAAATTTTAAAGATTTTTTCGATGTAATCCTATATTAAACTTTGGTTGCCCATAGTAGCCCTACCCTGGGGTCATGATTTGAACTAAATTGAATCTACACTCCATGAGGATGCTTCGTTATAAATATAACTAATCAAGACTTTGCTGTTCTTTAGAGGAAGAATTTTAAAGATTTTTCCTAGTATTCCTTTGTAAAATTTTGATCACCCAAAGTGGTCCCACTCTACCCCAGGAGGTCATGATTCCAACAAACTTGAATCTATACTACCCCAAAAAGCTTTCACAAAAGTTTTATCTTTTCTGGCCCAGTGGTTCTTGAGAAAAAGATTTTTAATTACCCCATCCAATTTCACTATTTCTTAATTTTCTCCCCTTGGAAGAGGGTGTGGCTCTTTTTTTGAACAAACTTGAATCCCCTTTACCCAAGGATACTATGTGCCCAGTTTGGTTGAAATTGAACCACTGGTCTTGAGAAGAAGATGAAAATGTGAAAAGTTTAAACAACAACGACGACAGACAACGGGCAAATTTTGATCAGAAAAGCTCACTTGAGCCTTTCGGCTCAGGTGAGCTAAAAAAGGCTCAAAACCATGCTTAAAATCCTACTTCCACCTTTGTGGTAAGCAGGAACAACAGATTTTACCTGACAAACAGAAGAAGTACATGTTAAAAACCAGAAGTCTCTGATGAGACTGTAGCTCTACTGGTTGTATTTATAAAGGAAGATAAAAGTAGCACTTTGACTTGAAACTTTGCAACAGCAATAAACAGAATAATGATCCTTGGTTTAGTCTCTTTTGTGGCAAGATTTATTATTATATCAGACTAAAACTGTAGGAGGAGTAGCCTTTTAAAACAATTTTACAGAAATTTTGATTTTAGTAACCATGGCAACATCATTCAACAAAAATCAAAAAACAATAACACCAATTATGTATCTCTGTAGTCTACTTGTATGCCACATTATACTGAAATCAGACAAAAAATGTAGGAGGAGTAGCGTTTTGAAAGTATTTCAAGAAATTTCTACTTTTAGTAACCATGGCAACACCGTTCATTGAAATCCAAAACTGGTACAGAGAATTATGTATCTTAGTGTAGTCTAATTGTGTGCTAAGTTATACTAAAATTAGACCAAAACTGTAGGAGGAGTAGCATTTTGAAGGTATTTTAAGGAAATTTCTATTTTTAGTAACCATGGCAACACTGTTCATCAAAATCCGAAACTGGTATAGAGAATAATGTATCTTAGTGTAGTTTACTTGTGAGCTAAGTAATACTAAAATCAGACCAAAACTGTAGGGGTATTATTTTGAAGTTATTTCAAGGAAATTTCTATTTTTAGTAACCATGGCAACAATGTTCATCAAAATCAGAAAATCAATATAAAGAATTATGTATCTTAGTGTAGTCTACTTGCTTGCCAAGTTATACTGAAATCAGACCAAAACTGTAAGAGGAGTAGCATTTTGAAAGTATTTCACAGAAATTTCTATTTTTAGTAACCATGGCAACACCGTTTATTGAAATCAAAAACTGATACACAGAATTATGTATCTTATTATAGTCTACTTGTGTGCCAAGTAATATTGAAATCAGATAAAAACTGTAGGAGGAGTAGCATTTTGAAAGTATTTCACAGAAATTTCTATTTTTAGTAACCATGGCAACATCGTTCATCGAAATCAAAAACCGATACACAGAATTACGCATCTTAGTATAGTCTACTTGTGTGCCAAGTTATATTGAAATCAGATAAAAACTGTAGGAGGAGTAGCATTTTGAAAGTATTTCACAGAAATTTCTATTTTTAGTAACCATGGCAACACCGTTCATCGAAATCAAAAAGCGATACACAGAATTATGTATCTTAGTGTAGTCTACTTGTGTGCCAAGTTATACTGAAATCAGACCAAAACTGTAGGAGGAGTAGCATTTTGAAAGTATTTCACAGAAATTTCTATTTTTAGTAACCATGGCAACATCGTTCATCGAAATCAAAAACCGATACACAGAATTACGCATCTTAGTATAGTCTACTTGTGTGCCAAGTTATATTGAAATCAGATAAAAACTGTAGGAGGAGTAGCATTTTGAAAGTATTTCACAGAAATTTCTATTTTTAGTAACCATGGCAACACCGTTCATCGAAATCAAAAACCGATACACAGAATTATGTATCTTAGTGTAGTCTACTTGTGTGCCAAGTTATACTGAAATCAGACCAAAACTGTAGGAGGAGTAGCATTTTGAAAAATTGTTTACAGACGGACAGACAGACAGACGGACGGACGACGGACACCTTACTATCGCATAAGCTCTTCTGGTCTCTGACCAGTAGAGCTAACTAGTGGGTATTGTTTTTTTTTACAAAAAAACACATGTCTCCCCTTCTTTACCAACATTAACGAGTGCAAATATATGATCAGGGTCAAAAATAATAATGCAGTGCATCTCAACTCAAATTCTGTGTACAAAATTTCAAGTCTTCATGTCAAACACATCTCAAGTAATGGTCTGGTTGTGTTTTTCTTAATTTGACCTTGAAGAAAGTGGTCAAGGTCAAATATTTTGATGCAGTACATTTAGTCTCAATGTTGTCTTTCCTTGTTCCAAGTTTGAAATCCTAATGTCAAAAAGTTCTCAAGTTATGACCTAGACTATATTTTCATGTAAACGATTGACCTTGACTTTATTAATAGGTCAAGGTGAAAAAATGTTGCCATTCACCCTTCCTCTATACCACCTCTCCATGTTCCAAGTTTGAAGTCTTAATGTCAGGGTTCTCAAGTTATGGTATAGTCATGTTTTCTCTATTTGACCTTGAAGAAAGGGGTCAAGGTCAAAATTTTGAAACGTTGCATCTTGTAACAATGTCTTCTTTCTATGTTACAAGTTTGAAGTCCTAATATCAAAGGGTACTCAAGCTAAGGCCTGGACTCTATTTTGATGTAAAAGATTGACCTTGACATTATAATAATTGGATCAAGGTCAAAAATTTTGGTGGCATGCATCCTTCCTTCATACCACTTCTGCATGTTCCATGTCTGAAGTCTTTATAACAAAGGAGTCTTAAGTAATGGTCTAATCAAGTTTTTTCCCTATTTGACCTTGAGGAAGAAAAGAGGTCAAGGTCAAAAATTTTGGTGTGTTGCATCTTGTATCAATGTCATCTTTCTATGTTACAAGTTTGAAGTCTTAATATCAAAGGGTACTCAAGCTATGGCTTGGACTCTATTTTGATGTAAAAGATTGACCTTGACCTTATAATAATTGAATCAAGGTCAAAAATTTTGGTGGCATGCATCCTTCCTTTATACCACCTCTGCATGTTCCAAGTTTGAAGGCTTAATGTCAAAAGGTTCTCAAGTTATGGTCAGATCGTGTTTTTTCCCTATTTGACCTTGAAGGCAGAAAGGGGTCAAGGTCAAAATTCTAATGCAGTGCATTTTGTCTCAAGGTCTTCTTCCTATGTTACAAGTTTGAAGTCCTAATATCAAAGGGATCTCAGTTATGGGCTAAACTCTATTTTGATGTAAAAGATTGACCTTGACCTTATAAATAGGTCAAGGTCAAAAATGTTGGTGGCGTGCACTCCTTCTCAATGTCATCTATCTATGTTCCAAGTTTGAAGTCTTAATGTCAAAGGGTATTAAAGTTACAGCCTGGGCAAAATTTGGATGAAGAAGAAGAAGAAGAAGAAGAAGAAAATTGACAAAAACAATATGTCTCCCCTGGAAGGGGAGACATAATTCAGTCTAGGAAAAGCAAAAATCAATTATGAAAAAGAAGTATGACTTGTTGCAGAAAAGCAGGTTGATTTTCATGGAAAAACTGTGTCCAATCGCTGAAAAGTAGAACAGCACCCTATGCATGTGGAATGTTAATTACTTTTTGTTTATGAATCTACAACTATTTTACCTATTCCTAGAACATGTAGAAAGGAGAATATATCCATACCTGTTTTAAATCTATAGATAAACATGACAAACTGGCAAAATTTGGATAGAAATGTAGCTTATGTACATGTACATCATATTCAACATTCAAATAAACTGATAAATTAATGGAATCATGCCTTTAACTCATAATTCAATTTGATAAGTTTTCTTTTTTTCTAATGAGTTAAAAAAATGCACTTTTTTCACATTTTACCACATAAATTATTTCCTCTTGAGTAGGAAACAAAAACAAGAGGCCCAGGGGCCACCTCTCTCACCTGAGCACTTTGGTTAGGAAAAAGCAGAAAATTAATCAGTTCAGTATTGAAAAGTATAAATATGACCAATCACAGCTTTGTTGTTCTTGAGAAGAAGATTTTTAAAGATTTTTCGTATGTATTCCTATGTAAAACTTTGATCACCCATTATGGCCCCATCCTACCCCCCCCCCCCCCCCCCCGGGGGTCATGATTTGAACAAACTTGAATCTACACTACCTCAGGATGCTTCCATATAAATATGACCAATCATGGCGTTGCTGTTCTTAAGAAGAAGATTTTTTAAGATATTTCCTATGTATTCCTATGAAAAACTTTGATCACCATTGTGGCCCCACCCTACCCCTGGGGTCATGATTTGAACAAACTAAAATCTACACTACCTCAGGATGCTTCCATATAAATATGACCAATAACAGCTTTGCTGTTCTTGAGAAGATTTTAGAAGATTTTACCTATGTATTACTATGTAAAACTTTGATCCCCCATTGTGGCCCAACCTACACCTGGGGGTCATGATTTGAACAAACTTGAATCTACACTACCTGACAATGATTCCACATAAATTTCATATTTACAAGCACAGTGGTTCTTGAGAAGAAGATTTTTAAATGTTGCCATTAATTTTACATGAAATCTTAATTATCTCCCCTTGGGAGAAGGCGTGGCCCTTCATTTGAACAAACTTGAATCCCCTTTACCCAAGGATACTTTGTGGCAAGTGTGGTTGAAATTAGCCCCATGGTTCTTGAGAAGAAGATGAAAATGTGAAACGTTTACGACAACGCCAAAGACAACGATGACTGACAAGGGACAAATTTCATTCAGAAAAGCTCACTTGAGCCTTCGGCTCAGGTGAGCTAATTTACAATAATATTATGAAATAAAACTTTCTTCTACATGTTCTAGTATCTTTGTCTCAAATATTTGAAACTTAAAAGTGAAACTTCAAATCCATTGAAGATAATATAAAACATTGAAAAACTCAAACTTCAAAATATTCTCCTTCCTTTTCCTGAAACACAGATGCAGATCAGATATGAACCACTTACTTTTCTGGGCCTCCAGATATAGAAGTTTTATGATGAATGTCATTCCAAGTTACACAGTTATCTACCCCTGTAGTTCGTGATCGTCCAACTGTGAAAACTAATTTCCTGTTAAATGCCACTCTAAGGAGTCGTGCCACAATGCGACCTTTTTCGTTGTCTGGGAGATAGCCAGTACGACTTGTTCCATAAAACCTCTGTCCTGGGTTTGGATGTTCTGGCTGTAAAATTATGTAGCAATTATTCTGGCTTATCATTAATCTTTAAAATGTAGTAACTGTAATACTGATCAAATGTCCTAATGGGACCAGAATGCATGTAGATAATTGTGTATTATTCTTCATGGAAATAAACATATGCATTTATGTACAGGTAATCATAAAATCTCAACAATTTTTTAGAAAAATAATAGAGTATACTAGATTGAAGCAGATTCTTCAAGAAATCCTTTAATCAACTTTATCTCAAAACAATAATATGACAAAATGAAATGACATACATGTACATGTAATCTTAAAAAAACAAACACTTTTTTACCCCCTGCTGTCCATCAGAAAATGAATAGTACACTCGGATTAATCCTTTCTCCATAAAACCAGGAAGCTGGTGTCGCCTGTCTCTATTTATCTCCATGTATCCATCTGGCTGATTCCCCATGATTACTCCATAAGCTGTAAAACATATGGGGCACTGTGGCTTGTACTTAAAATGACTGTCAATGCAGTCCTTACAAAATTCATGTGAACATTTTTCCAATGTCTTTTTATTTTGCATGACATCCATGCATATAACACAATCACTATTTTCATCCACTTCCATTGGCTCTTCTTCAGTTCGTTGTGATTGGGTTGGCCCTTCTTGCTGCTGTTGCTGACTACTATGGCCCTCTAGCATGCTACTGGGAATCTATATTCAAATCCAGAAAAAATATATACATTACAAGTACTTATTTACTGCTTTATATTGATCTGTTGATTGTAGGCATTTCTAGCTTGAAAGCATTATTTTATTATTTTAATCCGATATATTATGATAAATCACCCATAACACATCGTTTTTTTTTTTTATCAAACCTTTAAAACGGAAGTCGAGAAGAAGCTGGAATAAATTCTACTTTCGTTTCTGTTAAACTGTTAAACAGTGTTAAATAAGCATGATAAGAACTTGCCGATGTCTTTTTACAGATATGAAAGAATACTGCTTCTTTATGAAATCTGTGAGTAATTCCATTAAAAAAATGCACATCTAGACTTTTCACATTTAGACAACAAAAAAATAGTTATTTCTTTTTGTTGTGAAATATGATAACATCGTTACACGTACACCTGGAGACAAGTTACCTTTGACATTGACAGATAACCGTGTAAAAATTGCCTATTCTCCCTCTATTTCCCTGATTTCTTAATGAAAATATGTATCGAAGAACATTTTGCCAAACTTTTAAATATAACAGACAACATCTTGAATCGCTTTGACTTTTGTTTTTGTTCAGCAAAATAGAAAACACCGGAAGTTTTTCAGTACTACTTAAAAGAAAGATCACACAAAGGGATAGCAATTATCCGGAAATTAATTTTTCCCCCCTTTGAGCTTTTTGGGGAAATACAAACTTCCATTCTATGCATCGAAGTATGTATTTTTCTCTATATATTTTTTTAAATTTCTGGATGTATTGTTATCAGGATAAAAAATGGGTGTATTGTGCCTGACATCTTACCTTGTGTTCTAAAAATAGCCCAATATCAAAACAGGTAACAAACTACTGTAAACTTCCTACATGTATTGCAAAGGACGTCACTTGAATGTGCTATAAGTTAACATTCTCCAAATTTTTACAAATGATGAGTGGCATATAATTCCTATAGATCAATGAAATGTGTTTTCAGCATTATAAGTAGAATCTGAGCATTTTAGAAACCGATATACACATATTTTGGATTTAACTTTGAAAGAGGAAGTTAAAACATCGTTTCATGTAGTAACCTGTGCTTAAAAACATTTGTTCACATGAACGGTAAGTTTTTAATGTGTGGGTTTGAGCGTTAAATTGTTATTATTATTATTTTTTTTTTTTTTACGATAAACACTGTGTATTGCTAAAACTTGTTCCTTAATTTGCATTGAATTAATAAACTTTGGGACATAAATCATAAAAGGCACATTCAGCAAAATTACGATATTTCGTTTTAAAAGTCGAAGAAAAAACGTGTGTTGTAAATGAAAACAAAGGTAAAAAATATCAAAAATTATTAATCATTATGTGTATTTTCTAAACAAGATATTTTTATATATATTGATCAAGCTTTAACTCAATCAAGATTCAAAATTAAATAACGTGTTGATACTTTAATTTAAATGACATTGTTTGAAATTTAACACGGAAGAAAATTTTATGTGGGTACACAGGTTAAAATACACAGGTTGCATAGGCTGTACACAATAAACATTCCACGGGTGACTGGAAAAACGTTGATTTTAACAAGAGGTGAGAGGCACATAGAGCGATAGGTTATCAGATGGAAATGGCTTTCTCTTGATTTGATTCAAATTGATAACAAGTACTTTAAAAGTTCTCCGTTTTTTCTACTACTGAAATCAGACTATTTTATAAACAAACTGTAACCACTGTTTTTTTTTTTTTTTTAAATAAAATTAAAATCTAAAGAAAACGGTAAAAAAAAAAAAATAATTATATATTATGGCTGGTGACCTATAGTCTACCGACTAACAGGAGGCCCTTTCTTTCTTTTAGTAATCTTTCCTCTTTCCTTGTCATCAAAGGTTTAGCAAAGATTACTTTGTTAAAATCTAAGGTAGGACTAAAAAGTTTAAAAACAATTAAACAAGTCATGATTTATAACATCAGGCATGTTATGTTGTTAATATTTCCCTTCCATTTCCAGACCCCAAGCATCATTTTTCAAAGGGGAGGTGGGCAAACAAAAGAAAATTGACGATACATAAAAGAATGTAGAGGGGATTTCAAAAATTAGAACTTTGATCTAAAGACTTACATGTAGTTTACAAAATTAATTTGATTTTTACATATTTGAAGCCATAGGCATTTTGCACGTCTTGTTCGCCCATCTTAACAGAAAAAAGGATAACTCTCGGAGGAAAGGAGAGATTTGGAGTCCCCCATACTACGCGCTTGATCTGATTTCAACGACATCATGTCCCTTCTTGCGATGACTTTGAAATTGAAGTTAATCAAAATATTTAATGTCTTTTCGAATGGCACTGAACCCTCTAAAATTCTTTATTATATCTTTTTTGAAAATGTTTGTGTGTGTTTGTGTTGCTTATGAGCTCAATACGATTTTAGATACCCAGGGAGATACAAAATTCATAGAAACCCAGGTTTGCTAATTCACTATTTCTGCATGAAATTCCGTATCCTGTCATCGTTTCGACAATTGTCTGAGCATCGATGTTCATATGAAACATATTATATAAATGTACCAAGCATTGAGTTCCTTGTATTTTACAGATTATGAAGAAGGTCACACAAGATGAGCGGAGGAACACTCAACCGGAAGAAAGAACCCTTATCTGAACCTCACAGGCACATAGGTAGGGGAGGGAGTGAAAGTTCCAGACAATCCCTTTACCCAATACCAATAATCTGGTTGATAATCTTAAGGGGGATTTAAGTAAATATTATGTCTCTAAAAATTTTTAAACATAAGCTAGGGCTGGCAAGTGTTCAGCGAGTACCGTACACCGCTTGACGTATTTCGACTCGGGCAGTTTGTTGGTGTGGTATCTGTAAATATAAAGACCTGGAATTATAGTTATATAATTTTGTAAATATTTACTGCACAATGATAACTATTATGTTTGAATCATGAGAAGTGACCAGACAACAGTGTTATTTATAGATTTGAGGGACATTTTACTCGACTTGAATTACTGCAACTTAAGATCACATGAAATTCCACAAAGGTTAGAAAATCTATGAATGCCAAAAAAATCAGAGGAATAATTTAATATAAGTAATATTATAAATTGATTTGAAAAAAAATTGAATAAAAAAAAAGTAAATGTAATTCATTCAAAATTAAGTAAATTAATAGATACAGTACAAGCAAAGTGTCGATTTTAAAGTTTTATTTCTATTAGAACAGGAACACAACTACTTGAACTTTTAAAACATGTTTGTTCTTAACGTAGGTACCTCGTGGGTTTACAAGAATAACAAATATCACTAGAAAGCATATCCTGAAAAATTTAAGAAATGTTTATTAGGATTTTAAAAAATAGTATATGAAAATTGAATCAACTTTATAAGTTAATATATGAAATATATGAATATGTATGAAATATATAAATATGTGAAATGAAAATTTTTATCAACTTTGTCTTCGTTATTTTTATACAATACCGTCCTAAAATTAGTTTTGTTTTGGCTACTGATTTTACGTTGTTGTTTTTTTTTTTATTATTGAAATATTTAAAATTGGGGGGGGGGGGGGGATTTTTCTTTATATTTTAGAGGTGGAGTTTATTTGAGAAATTGCAAATATTTTTTATAACCAGAATATCAACTACTCTGCAAGGAAAGAAAAACTGATTTCCAAATTATTTACTATAGGGATATGCGATTTTATCTATATACTGATATATCGTGGCTTTATTAAAATTGTGTTATACAGTGTATATGTATACATGTACGTACGTATCGTGATACAAAGACTAAAATACCGGTATATATTTCAAACATTATTATAAATTCTCGAAATAATTCATTTTTTGTTCAAATCTGAATTATTATAGAGAAGTGTAAAAATCGTATTTTTAAAAGAAACATATCGTAACATTACCTAATATTAGAGGTCAACATACTTTATAAAGTATTTGGTCCATTCCTTGTGTATACATGTGTTTCGGTGGTATCAATAGCATATTTCATTTTATAAAGTTTTCGTAGTAAAGCCCGCCTCATCAGAGATACCTAGGGTATCTATCGATCAATCTCACGAATTAAGTGTGAATTTAACTTCGATCACCTTTGATTTAATGTTTTTGTATGCAACCATAGAAGTAATTGTGAATTAAATGTTCATTCTTCGTCTTGTAGAATGCAATTCCCATATTTTCAAGTAGTCTCTTAAATCCGTTTATATTTGGGAGCATAACGTTCAGTATGATTGTTTTTATTGAAACTTCATTATTTTTTTTTAAATTGAGCTCATAAACGTACTCTTTTCTGTTTCATTTTGTTTGAAAAATTCAAAATTTATATAAATAAAAAATGAATAAAGCAAATCATAAAAAATACTGCATGCAATGCAAAAAATCTTGATATTATCGTGATATTTTGGGGGACAAAAACATGATATATCACGATACGAATTTTTTGGCGAAAACCATCCGTATCATTTACATAAAAAATATTTTTACTCCAAGATTTTGTTGTTGTTGTTGTTGTTGTTTTTTTTGTTTGTTTTTTTTTTTTTTTTTGTGCTATTCAGTTTTGTATCTACGGTTATGAGTTAAGATATTTTAGGTGAATATTTTTAAATGGTATTCTAAAAATGTATATTTGTTACATAACTGAGTAGGTGCTCAAGACCTTTTAAAACAGAAAGACAGTGTGTGTCACAGCGGCTTTTTGCGCAGCCGAGGGAAGTTGGAGAGAATTGTTGGATCAAATGCGTTATTTAAAACCATATTTTCAGAACTTGCCAAATGTAAGTCACAATATATTTTCCAAGATTCTTCTTACCTTATTTTCTATCAGACGTTTTGTTGAATATTCTCTTCCTTCTAAATTTCTTAATATGATTCCACATTGCATTACTAGGGCGTCAGCGGTTTGTGATTATTGGACGAGGGTGCCTTTACGTTTACAAAGACGAGCATGGGAGGGCTCCACTGCATTCTGTGTCCCTCAAAGGGTATAGCAGGTTAAAAAAAATGAATTACTAAAACACATTAATTATAGCATTTTATGCAACAGCAAAACCTAAATGTAAATACATGTTTATCTGTTACTTTACATTAAAATTTTTAAATGTATTTACTTATTAATCTAAACTTTAACAATTATTTGCATATTCCCGATCAATAGTTCATTTGCAATGCCCCCAAAAATGCTCAGATTATGCAAACGCTATACGATAAAATCTCCTTCACAAGAGAATTTGTCACTGACAACACGTAACGAACGATTTTTCTGCAAAAAAGGACCCATCTAAGATAATGCTTTGGTAACATTAACAAAACCATTTTCCAAAACTTTTTTTTTCAATATTTATGCAGAGTGGAGAGGCCATCGCCAGCAATGGGGATAGAGGTGGACACACGAAGGTGTTTTCAGGTGGTGCCTTCAGAAGAGACAATGAAAACTTTTATCTTTGGTTGTGCAAAAGATGGTGAGAGGAAGGTAATTTATGAATCAGAATACGGCAATCAATATACGTCAGAATATGAAATATACACTCCTTCAAAATGTTACAATTATACGGAATTAAAAAGGAAATTGAAGCATTCTGTTAGTTGTTGTCTTACCGTTGAAGACATTAGTTCTTTTTTTTTTAAACAATGAAGGTATTTTATTCTCAGAAACTGTGACAACAGTATAGAGAGGATATTATATACATGAAATATTTACAATAAAGCATGTATGAAAGAAAAAAGCAGTCAAAAACGACAGTAAGTTAAATATAAACCAAGAGAACCAACTCTCTCAATAATAATCCCAATAAGTTTACGTTGTTTAATCAATTGATTTTGCTATTGAATTGTTCAAACTTGAAAACATTAGGATTTGGATATTAATATTTGGAAAATCGTGTAACTCTAGAATTCTAAATGTATGGATCAGTGCATTTAAATAAGAAATAGAGTACCTCTCCAATTTCCTTATATGAAAACAAGTGACATAGCGTGTTCCAGTAAATCTTTCTTTACTCCTCACTAAAACATGAACAGTAGTGAAGGAGGAACTTCAGGTGTACTATACAACAATATATTCGAGAAGTGGTGTAAATCAGATGAGGATATTTTAAAATTCTAAGGAACTTTTAGAAATGTTGAAGTCACAAAATTTTATCAAAATCAATAACATCAAAAAGGATGACTTTTCAACACTTTATACAACCATTCGCCATGATGAATTAAAGTCCAGGCTTTTTGAAATCATAGACAGCTGCTTTTTCAATAAAAATGGAACTTGTAAATTTTCTTTCCTTGTCATTCGTCATTTCCGAAATTATTTTGTTAAAACATATTCTGATTGTACACACAAGTACTCTTAAGTTGATATTTAAAAAATGCTTGAGTTTTTGATTGACAGCATCTATGTAGTTTTTGGAGATAAAGTCTTTCAACAATCTGTCGAAATTCCCATGGGAACCAATTGTGCCCCGTTATAAGCAGACCTATTTTTGTATTCGTATGAAGCAGAATATATTAAAAAAAACTTAAACATAAGAAGAAGAAGACACTTGATCTTGCCTTCAACTCGACATTTAGATATACTGACGACGAATTATATCAATTAATAATAGTTATATGTACTTCCATTCATTTGTCGACTTGATATATCCCAGTGAACGTGAAATAAAAGATACTACAGAGTCTGACACATCTATTTCATATCTGGATATTTTACTAGAAAAAGAAGGTAATGGTAGCTAACAAAAAAACTTCATCATAAACGTGATGACTTCAAGTTTTCTATCCCTATCGTCAAATTCCCTGACTTATGTAGCAATATACCCTTATCACCTGCAGGCTGCATATGGTATTTATATCTCCCAGTTGATTCGATACGCAAGAACATGCTCCACATACGAATAATTTCTTGAACGAGGCAAGCTATTACCAAACAAGTTCATGAAACAAGCATGTCAACAGTCTCGTTTAAAGTCATCATTTCACAAGTTCTATGGTCGATACAATGACCGTGTCAACAAATACACAATCTTTCATTTCTAAGTCGAATGCAGACTAACGTTTATCATACTACTTATAATTATTTAAACACTGAATTTTCTATGGATTTTTTCGTTTGCCGATCATGACAATGAACACTCGGCTGGTGTGACCGGTCGACAGGGGATGCTAACTCCTCCATGGCACCTGATCCCACCTCTGATGTTTCAATGGACTTTTTAGCCTGATTACTGTTCGTTTTCTCCATATTTTTTGAACACAAGTGAGAAATTCTGTTTTTCTCCTGCAATACTATACCATTTTCTTGTATCTTTTGGAAATTTAGCATTTCCAGTTCTAAAACACAATATTTCATAAAAATTTAGAGGGTAAATTCAACAAGTATTTCTCAAAAGTTAATGATTTTTAAACAATTTATTATTAAGACATTTGGCGAATTACAAGTTACTATACCAGAATTGCTTAAATTGATCTACAAGAACATTATGCACATTTTTCTTTAATCCAAACTCGTATGTTCTATATAATATGGTAAGTGAACATAAATCGGTATGGGGAATATATTTTTGGGATACAATAAATCAATCATAGTATTGTATATTTTTTAAACAGGAGTGGATGCAGCACATCCGAGAAGAAATGCTTTTGGCTAATTCTGTGACGGACGATGGCAAGTAAGGCGAAATTACATTCCTTGTTTTACAAACAATGGCTATTAAAAGTATTCAATGGGAAAATAAGAAACAAAGCTCCACAATAATGTTATACTCTCAAGTTGAAAGGGAGCTACATTACGTCAGAAATCAGTAATACATACATGTATTATTATATAATATTTTTGTTTGAATTTTAGAGAAATATCAGGAACTGAATCCGATGAATATGTTTACTTGGAAAGACCAGTCATTGAAAAGATAATCCAAGGAAAATCTCCCACGAGACCTAATGTCCCAAAGAGAAAACCTCCTAGCACACCCAAAGGTAAGAATACTGTTGTGCTTTTGAAAATCAATGTGAATAATTTTTACGTCTGAACATTTAAGAATAAATACATATATATTAGGAATGTCAAAATATTTATCTTCCTTAGTCGATTATTCGATTGCATTATTCGAACGATAATCGAATATTCGGAATATTTTCTGAAAGTAAAAACTGGTACATAGCGTACTTTTAACTCAAAACCCCTTTTACTTAAATCTATTTAAAAAGTAACATCAAAATTAACGCAACGGAACGTGTGAATAGCATGACTAAATGAAATAAATTAAGAAACCTAATTTTCCAAACTGTGTGATTTCCCCGTCAACTGAATTATAAATCAGTTTGTACATGCAGTCAGCTTTTTTTTTAAGTATGCATTAAAAATTTGCCAGCCGATATTTTTATAGGCTTATTATGAAATAAATTTGGGAAGGGGGGGGGGGGGGGTAATCTCACACTATCCACTCGTCAGGTGCCTGTGAAATTGTTCAAAATAGTTAAATATTCTTTATTCAATTATAGATTGCTTTGGCTATCAAAATGTCCTAAAACAGTTTAAAATGTAAGCGAATTATTTTAATAATTATCGAAGTGTCAAAACATGACACAACTATTGTTTGTTCTTTGCATTTGAGCAATCTTAAAATAACAAAAGATAATTGGCACATGGTATAAGATCAAGTCCAATTAATAATTTTACAAACAAAGCCCAGTATATTGGTGGGTAATTTATTACAAAAACAACACAGGCAGTTACTGACAAATAATTCTCACAGTAGTGAATTGAAGCACTTATAATTACTGTACCTTCCATACATGCGTGGAAAATCAACCGTTTTTTGTTGAGGAAAATTATCTTATCGACTGTCTCTGAGAAAAGACGGTTTCTCAATTTTGTGATGAGAATTCCATCTCGTTATCACTCTTTTATTGCATTTATCAAATTATAATAATATTCGAATGTCGTTTCATTATACGATCGTCGGTCCATTCGACTGATAGTCGAATAGTCGACTATTCGTTGACATCCCTAATATATATACAACCATTTGTGTATGTTTAAATTTTCCCTCCTTCTCCTGCCTGCAGAAAATGATGACGACACGGACTCGGATTCTGATTACGATAAGATTGCCGAGGACGAAATGAAGAAGATCCGGGGAAAACCTTTACCAGGTGATTTTTTTCTGGTCTAGTGAATAAAAATTAATAAATAATCATTCAAATAATAATCAATAAACCAAATACGCATCAACACCATACTTTATTTTAATCTAAATGATTTTTTTTAATTAAGCAATCCCGCCAGAGGAAGTTGTGAAAAGGCCAAATAAGCCAAAGAAATTGGTAAGATAGGCCTATTACATTGTATTTTGAATATTCTTGCAACGCTTAAAATCACATAATCTGTGTAAGCTTATTATTTTTGTCTCCCTATCTTTAAAATACATTTACATAATTTCAGAAACCAACAAAGAGCTCTGAAGATGAATATGTTTTTAATGATTCCGACAGGGAAAAGGCTATAGAGTATGTGATATTATAATTATTACTAGTAATTTATTCATGTATTAGATAATGTCTATCCGCAGTTACTTCTTTGAAATTATCATGTTGTAAATTTTGAATTTACTGAGTTGAGGTAAATTCAAAATTTACAACATGATAAAATTATACACTAAAGCAAATACAATGATTAAAAAATATCTTAATTATACTGTATTTCTCAAATACTAGTAAATTAAATAAAATTATGAATGAACCCTTGGAAAAGTGAACTGCCTATATACAGGCCTCTATGTGACCTTTAAAAGTTAGGCGCCAGTTGGCTCCTATTAAAAAAAATTTAGTCGCCAATGCAAAGTTTTAGGGCGAATTTGTTTCTCAAAAACTGGTTTTAGTTTTGAACTAGTTTTGTAAACTGTTCATTTGTTCCACAAACTGGTTTTAAACTAGTTTAAACCCAGAACCGGTTTTCCATTTGTTTTTGCTGTAACTGAAACCAGTTCGTTAAACCAACCAAACCACCTCCGATGGTGGTTTATTCGGTTTACGAAAGAGCGGGAAGTATTCCAGTATGGCGGTGATGAAAGATGGTGACTATTTTAATAAAGAAAAAAGTTATAGATGATTGTTTTTTCGAGGACAAACAAATCTTTTTGACTTTAATGACACATTCTGATGTTTTATATAAAGCTTCAGAGAATAGATATATGCTGCATATTGTAATGGTGTTTGTTGAATGATAATTTTCAAAAATTAGTTCTGATTCATTTGAACAAACTTTAACATGTATGGTAAATTGTAGAACATACTATAAAAACAGTTTTAATGTTGGAAATCTAAAGAGTATAATTATAAATACCCAAGTTTTTATCTTTCCATGTGTTAAAAATGTAGAAATTGATCATTTGATGAATCTTTGAGGCATTATAAATGTAAATACTACATTTTTAAGTAAGATAAACAAGGAACAAAAAAAATACAATTTCTTGGATTCTTTTATTAAGAAAAAGATTTTAAATTTATTTGCATGTGTAATTTGGTTAATATGTTGTTCTAGCTCTTCATCTTAAAGTTCCTACATTGTAAATGCACATGAAAAACGTCATAAAATTATTGCAATTCTATCTCTTTTTTTCATCAACAGCATTATTTCCGCGTTAAATTTCCAATTAACATGATTAATATTAATATAATTAATCACAGGGACTTGAGACAATCTTAGCAAAATCGGGTATATAGTATAATAGTATTAATATATAATAATATTATACTATATACCCAATTTTGCTAAGATTGTCTCAAGTCCCTGTGAAATTAATCATGCATGGATCTTTTAGACGCCATCTTGTATAAACTGTTCATTTGTTTTACCGAGGTAAACCGGATCGAAACTTATAACCAGTTTGAAAACTAGTTTTAAACCTTAAACCAAAACCTGAACTAGTTTAGGCGCAACAAATTCGCCCTTAGTCGCCAGACACATAACCATTGCTAACTTTTAAACCTTTTTTCTCCTCTTTAGAAAAAAATTGTGAAAATATTTATAGTTCAGGAATTTGATGATCACCGAGTCAATTTAATATGCTCGCCAATTTGGTGACTTATAGAAAAAATTTAGGCGCCAATCAAAATTTTTAGGCGCCATGGCGACTAAATTGGTCGCCAAGTAGAGCCCTGATATAGGCAGTTATTAGGCAGTTCTTCAGCAGTTTTGCAAATTTTAAGTAGTTTTCAAACAGTTTCAGGCAGTTTGGCTTTTTCTGTTCTTTTGTGACTGCTAGTGCCTTTGGAGTAAACAATTTTCCTTTAGTTAGCAGTTTTTAAGCAGTATTCAGTTTCCCTAGCAGTTATATCTTGGTCGCCTGTGCTTGAGAAGACACTTTTCCTAAGCAGTTTTGTAAGCAATTTATAAGCAGTTTCCTTGTACAATTTGATTGGGTTCAAGAAAAATTATAACGTTGGGCTCAATGATCAACAAATATAAACAACAGGAACCCAACAACAGACCGCCAAAATTCAATTTTTGGCTGCCATGTTGTATTGTTGGAAAGAGGCTATAAAGCATCCTGAAGAGGGAGCCTGCTAGCCACAAAGCTTTAGATTTATTGAAATAATGATGTAGACATTTAACATATCGGTAAGTACAATATATTTATTAATTTATGTCTTGAATAGAGAGATATAAATTACAATACAACTTGGATCAATGGATGATCTATTAACCCTAGCAATTATAATTACCCAAACAGTGCTGATTGAAATATTATTCATTTGTGGTACAAGGATCGAAAAACCTGACAACTAAAATCGTTCAAAATTGAAACCATACAGATGTTAAGATGTGCACCTTAATTAGTACTGTGAATAACAGTGCCATAGCCTAATAAGACAAATCTACAGAAATGTGTATTGTCAATTATAATGCACAAAACTGAAAATACAGCTGTTGCTAAAATTCTTTGATGATTTAATTGTGATCCATATTTTTATTATCTCTTTTATTATTATTTTTTTAATTTCACTTATGTGTATTTGGATGAAGTGAATATTTGCTGTATACTTTTGACTTTTCCCTTAGTGTTGAATCTTATATGTCCTGGGATCATATAAGATTTCTTACTAGTCATGCTAATCAGTGAGTATAATTGCATGGCTGTACATGTGTATGTAAATAAGATACATATGTTAATTATTAGTTACACTGATTATAATAACAGACACATAAAACAGTGTATGATACTTTTTAAACATTCATCTTAGCAATCTCTAATTGTTTGACTGTGGTATACAACTGTACAAAATACAATAAATTAAAATGTAACAAGCATTTCTGATATAGGTAGATCTATTATAATTGCATATTATTTCAGGCTGGATAATAGGAAATGTCCTCCTGACTAATCAATATTTATGTTGTGAAAGGGAAATAGATAAGCAATATATAATAGTTTACTGGAAGTCCACTAGCAGTTAGCAAAAACTGCCTAAATAACTTCCTATGAACTGCTAAGAATCTGCCTATGAACTGCAAAGAAACTGCCTGTAAACTGCAAGCGAACTGGTAAGGCTAAGAAAACTGCTAATAGATTACAAAAGGTTTGAAAGCAATTTGTTTATCCATTAGCAGTCTAGGGAAGGTTAAGTAACTGCTCAAGAACTGCTAAGGCTAAGAAACTGCTAAATAACTGCCTTCCACTTTGCCATGGGAATGTAAAGAAGGAACATTTTACATAAACATAAACATTAAACATAATTTGAGCAGAATTTTATCCAATCGAGGCAGTGGAACATTCTTAGTGCGGAAATCCAGAGCAGGTGATCAACAAGTAAGTGGAAAATTCCTTATTACATGTAACACCTTTCTGAACTCTATACATATTACACTACATTCATATTTAATATATTATATGGAGTATAAGCTTAGGCAGATATGAAAGAGAAAAGTAATCGCTAAAATGAATACTAGTATTATTTTTGGGGGCTTCAAATTGCGCTTGATTTAAATGACGAATAGTGGCTAATGAACGAATTTGGAAGTACCATAGATAGTCGATTTCCCTAAAAAGAGTTATCTTTCTTACCTTACTTAAATGAGTTCAGTTGCTGTGAAAAATGTTTGTTCTTGTCTTGTATAAAATATACAGTTCAAAAACAGATTGTTCCATCCAACAGTGTAAACTTTTTCTTGCAATTTTGTAGAAGATATTAGTAATTACTAATATCACATACATGTACAATGCAGCTTACTCTACATTGTACATGAAATGTTCTGTCAGAATTTTACAATGTATCGAAAGTTCGCGATGTGTTTAGTGATGGGAAATCGGATAATCGGATGCACTATACTCGATGAATAATCGATTGATCTCAAGTATTAAATTAATTCATTTTTCAATGAAGAAGATTATGATTTTTAAAATACACTTTTACTATATTATTATTTAGGATTTAGTTAAATTCAAAGAAGAATGAATAAAAAATCATAGGAATAATTTGCTTTTATCCAATATTTTCATTAATCGATTAACAAAATTATCATCGATTATCTATAATCGGGGGCCATTTCGATTAGATAATCGATTTAATCGATTAATCGGTACATCACTACCTATACATAACATAGGAAACAGTTGTGTGTAACTTCGTGTGTTATAATTATTTGTGTCAAAATATTTGTTATGGGTACCTGATTGAACATAACCTCCTTATTAATGACAAGACATAGCATTCAGTTGAGGAAAAGAAGAGGTCATTTATATAGTTAAAAAAATGACAGAATAATCAAACAAGTCATATATATGTAAACACTTGTAAACACAAATAAGACAAAGCAAAACATACTAAACACAGTTCTCAGACAATTATGCAATAATTATAAAAATAAATGTGATGTACATAATAAAAGTGTTTCTCTAAGGTAGACTCAATATTCTTACATTTAATACAACAAAGGTTACATGTTCAACCCCCATACAATTGAAAAGATGGGGCGGATCGCGTATTATATGAATTATGTTATTAACAATCAAATGTCATTTCTTGTTAAAAGAGATATTGTTGCTTACATAGGTGTTATCTGTCAAAACAGACGAAGGAATGAAAGAGTACAAAATTTATTCAAAGGTTGGTTACTATTTTTTGAATAATAAAAAGATATTCTCTAGATACAGACACTATTTTCCTATTTTCAATTTTTCTTGCTATTGTAGATGTTTCCTTTGTGGATTCTGGAAATTTATTATTTGATATTCATTTACAATCGATTTACAGGCTCTTTATTCATACTTAATCACATTTCCACAAATCCCTTAAATATTGAAAGACTACCTTACGAACATCATTAATGTTCGTATTTTTGTTTCTTCTTCAGAATGACGGGCTTACTATCGATCATAGAACGTATTTTCAAACAGTAGAAAACCTTATTGATAACTACAAACGAGTGACTCTCCCAAATCGAACAACGACTCTGTCACGGGGATTTAGTGTCAGCGGCGAAGATTAATGCTTTGTCGATATTGAATTTCTGACATATTTTCTATTCATCAATAAAAATCTGTGTTATGAGTACTTAAAGTAGTCATTATGCATATTTTTATTGATAAATAAAAAATATATCAGAAAGGCAATATCTTAGCTAGAAACTGTTCAGAGAAGGAAATCAATTTCATTTTATTGTGTATTCTTTACACATGACAATTGCCTCAATATGTTACTTGTTTGAAAACCATGAATACTTATGCATAATGCTTCTTTATAAGAAATTCTATGATATACACATTCTAAATCTATATCATGTTGATTTTGTGTGAGGTTACTAATTGATTTTATATTTACTATTCTTATTTCAAATCTACTTGTTCGTATTGTGAAAAGCATGGCTTTGTACGACATGTTTTATTACAATTTTTTAATTTATAAGTTTTGTTTTTGTTTTTAGTCTGTTTATTTGTACACTTAAGTTACTTTAAATTTACTGCTTGTGACAAAAAGTATGACACTGATCTCAATTACAATATGGTTGTGAAAATCTTGATAATTATAATTAAAACATTAAATGAAATCGTCAGTGTATAGACAAGAATCTATGAAAATAGTATGTCTGTAAGCAGAATAGATGGAATTTTTCTTTTGCATGGCGATTTCATTTCCACATACATTCAATGTAATACTATAACATTTAGACTATCTTTTAAAAGGATTGATCGCTCTCTCCCGACTCAAAGAAATTGGGGTAAGGAGGTCGGTGATTTTTTTTAATTCAAAAACACTGAAGTTGAAATAGCTATGTAATGGGTGGAAAAAATTCGGGGTGAAAGAATTTCCTGCAGGTTAGAAACATTTTGATTTCGACAGTTTTTTTTATCACTCGGTCAAGAGAGGACAAGCAATCGTTTTCTTTTTAAAGATGGCCTTACATGATAGCTTTTTTAAAATCTTTCCCGAAGACATGCATTTTTTTGTTCATTTTTTACAATCAACCATTTATTTGAATCTTCACCATATTACAATAGTATATAGAGACTTACAACATATGGATGATTTAATACATAGCAATAGCATGTGTTAATAATAAAGAACAAAAATTAGTACGTTGCTATAAATGTGACAATGTTACTTGAATATACATGTACATGTATTTGTGAACTAATTACTGATTATTACATATGTTTATACAATATATTTATAAAGCGATTATTATTGACTTAAGACATTCTTATTGGTTACTAGTTAAGAAAATTATGTTTTGTTTTGTTTTTTCCTTCTTCTTCATTTTTTGCGTTGGCTTGTCTTGCGTAATGTTTTCTGCTCTCCATATATTCTTTCATCTTTTGATTGTTTGAATTTTCCTTGCAAATCCTTCATCTCATCTGCGATTCTGACAGTATGTAGTACTGCTATATCTGTGAACATGATATGTGGAATTAATGATACAGTTTTACAGAAAATTTGAATACGTTGTAATATATAGACTGTGTGTTGAACTGAACGTTAACTGTCATTAATATCTTTTGATAATAAATTCCATTAAATTATACTTTAAAAAGTCCCTTTGCTTCAAGTGAAATTAAGCAAAGACTATAAAACGATATCTATTGAGTATGTATTATTCAAACGAATATTTTTGTTTTAGAAATGTTTTAAATCTATGTTATTATTTTAGAAATGCTTGAAATTTGTGTTATTGCTTCAAAAATGCTTTTGACTTAAGCAATTGTTTTAGAAATGCTTTAATCATTTTTAAATCTTTTTTTATTTTAGAAATAAATGCTTTTAGTCTAGTTATTTTAGTACGCCGGATTTACAGAAAGTTAAGGGGCCCGTTTTACAAAAGAACTTTTGACTAAGACCAAAAACTTGAGTTTATTGTAAAATTTTGCAAAATTAATAATTCTGTTCGTTAAAATTGCTAGAGTAAAAATATCTTACTACATTCCTTTCAAAAATATTAAAGCAATTTTTAATATGATGTAAATTAAAAAGTTATAAGCAAAATAAAATCGTAAGTTCTTTTGTAAAACGGACCCCTGATTCTACAGAGGGTAACAGTTTTTGTATTTCCTGAAAATGCCCACATATTTTTGTTGCTCGTCAAGAAAGTTATATTATTGTCTGTGATTCTGTTACAAACAAGGGTTTCCTCTCTTTATCCACTGCGTATTTGTACGACGGTCCGCCGAATATTATAATGGTACCAACAGCTACTTAAGTACATAATGTAGATATTTAGTCATATATACATGTAGTCGGATTTTTTTTTCATGTTTGACAATATGATGAAAAAATGGTTAATTAAATGTTTTCTTTATTTATACAGGGGATGAACGGTTGCAACGTTGCAGAAAAGTACATAAATAAAATGTTATAATTGCAATGATTGCAATTTCATTTCTGTAATTTTTTTTTTTTAAGTATTTGATTTTTTATATATTTATGTTTGTATAAATTATTCATGCCAAGTTGGTTAAAGTGTGAAAAGCATTGGATTATCGATGAGCAATTTACTTTAAAGGAATTGCCATGAAAGAGACTTTTGACACATTCTAAGAAATTTTTGAACTTGATTGTGCTATTGATTGCTCAACTGTAGAAATAAAGGATAAAATATTCAGTGAGTGTATAAAAAATGTATGTAAAGAGATCTTTCTCAAGAAAGCAACATATTCTGCACGTTGATCGAGTTATACATTATCTAAGCATGTTGGTAAACAAAGCTTTCCTAAAAATAATCTCAGATTACCAACAATTAAGTGGACCTTACTGAACTTGTGTCTCGCTTGAGACCTGTTTAAAGACTCCTATTGATTACCAACTTGATATCTATAAACTGTGGTATCGTATCCCTCATAAGAAGCTAGATGTGTCGAGACTTCATTTCCAATGAAATCCAAATTTAGTAAACTATTAGAATTACCATAACTTTGGTTCAGTAGAAAAAAATGTATTTCTTGCTAAGAAAATGTATTTTGTCCTATCGAAATATACGAAAAGATTCTCTTAAAAGATTTGTAACTCGATGTAAATATAATTGTCTTGCATGTAGACATAATTATCTCGCATGATGACATAAATATCTTGCATGTGAACATTATTAACTGGTCCTTTGGATGAAACCGTATAAACCGAGGTCCCATATCGCAGTAGGTGCTGGCACGAAAAAGATCCCGGACTGTTCAATGGTCCTGAGTGTCGAGTATAGGTCTAAATTTGCAACCCTCCACCGGCAACTGGGGGCGTCCCCATATGAGTGAAAAACGTTAAACAACAAACAAACAAAACCATTATTAACTCGCATGTTAACTTAAATTAGTAGCATGTCTACATAATTATGTTGTATCTTGTATTATTTACCCATATTAAAATTAGAATGTCAAACAAGGTTGGTAACTTGCATGATAACATAATTTTCCTGCATGTAGACAAGATTATCTGGCAAGTTGACATACTTTTATTGCATGATGACATAATATATCTTGCATGTAGGGGGCAGAAATATGCCACCATACTATGCTAATAAGCGAAATTTCTTATTTGCATATACATAAGGACGAATTCCACGAACAAAACATTTGTGTTTAACTGGAATATTGGTATATTGTAAAGGTAACTGTGTAGAGAGTATTCTTAAGATTTTTAAAAAAAAAAAAAATGTGCATAGTAAACCCCGCAGAGAAAAAAAAAATGTTACTAAATATTCTATATACTATAAATCTAAACTTGTGTAAAAATATTCTCATTAAAAATCTGTGTAAATGTGCAAAGTTTGAATTCCGTCTACAGAGGATGTTTCAATTTTTTTTTTTTTTTTTTTTTTTTTTTTTTTTTTTTTTTTTTTTGTAATTACGGATCTTAAGCCTTTGAATACGGAAATTGAAACTGAAAATGAAATTAAGTTTTTAGCTGACCCGAGCTAAATCTCCAAGCAAGCGTTTCTGATCGAAGAGAGTTCAATGTCGATCTCTCTGTCTCGTGTTATTTGTAAACTTTTCACATTTTCATTTTCTCCAAAACAACTGGGACAATTTCTTTCAAGCTTGCCAAAAAGCATCCACAGCTACAAAGATTCTCTTTTTTTCGAATAAAGAGCCACGGCCTCTTTAAAGAGGAGGCAATTAAGAAATGACGAATATTTCTTGTTGTCATTAAAAATCTTCCCATGCTCGAACCACTGGGCCAAAAAAGACATCACTTAAATGTATGCTTCCTTAGTGGGTTAGATTTAATTTGTTCAATTCATCGCTTCTGAGGATAGGATTCGACCTCCATAGAAAATCAAAGTTTAATAAAGGAATGTACATATGGAATATTATTAAAAGTCTTCTTCTACAACAAGGTCACAATTATTTATATACATGTTGATATGCAGCATCCTCATTTAGTGTACATTTAAATTTGTTTAAATTATATTATGACCCTGGGTTTAGGTTTGGACGTCAAATAAGTGTGATCTCTTTTATAGGTAGTAGTATGTATAGTAAAAAAGAAAAATCCCTAAACCTCATATCAAGAGCAGCAGGGTCACAATAGTTCATACCATTCGTACAGTGTAGGTTCGGGTTTTTCGTTTGGATCATGGTCCTTTGGGTGAGGTTTGGGATACAGAAGTAGTCAAAGTTTTTTAATAGCATAATTATTCACAAAAGGTCATTTTAATATCCAAACATTCTAATGCAGTGTGTTCTCATATTTATTCAAATCATGACCCTTGGGGCTAAAGCCAATGCAACAAATACGAGTCGAATTTTTTGTATACATGTAGATTTAAATAATGTAGGTTTAAATAAATAGAGAAATCTTTGCAAATTTTTTTCTCAAAAACATCGAGCAAACATATGTTATATTGATTCATGTTTAAATTTATGTAATGTAGATTCAGGTTGTTAAAATCATTAAATAAAATATAAGGGATCATAATTTAACATTGCAATATGTAAAGGGGCTATTTAAACTTATTCAAAAGATCAAAGGGTTATAATAATTCAAAAAGTTGAGTATTCCCCAAGTCATGTACATACAGCTGCATACATATTTGTCTCATTGTGGCAACCGAGGCAAGAACTGTAT